ATGATGCAGATAAAGAGGCTTGTAAAATAGGCTTGGGCTTTAATAATGGTCTAACTTAGATTTACTATGCTTTATTAGTAGTTGGCCATCAAACAGAATGAAAAATAAAGGTAATGAAAGAAGTAATTCTAAAAATCTAGAGACATCAGTGCTTGCAGGATGAGTGCTGAAGTCTTGAGTATCTTTTGGGGAAAAAAATAGCCTGAAGGACTACCTAGATTCTCCTTTTGAAGCTCCAGTTGTTTGGTTTACTGGGAAATCTAGTGGTCGGTAAACCAGTAGGAGATTATTATAAGTGAGGGAAGATAAGGAAGAAATAAAATTGGAAAGTTGCAATTTCCTTATCTGGTTTGAGTTGAAACAGACACAAATTAGTTTTTATGTTACTGCTACAGCTATAAAGAAGTACATAAAAAAATAGCTGTTTAGCAAGCTGTCACACAAAACCACATTTAACGTTAGACAACAGTAATTTTATTTATTATCACATGTGAATGCAAGTAAGCATACACAGTTATACTTAAGATATAAGTCTATCCTTATCTCCCTTGTCCCTCATACATTCTATATCTACTTTGTTGTTTACTTCTCTGTTGATATCTCAAAGTACCAAACTACATTAATCAGGTTATATGAAAGAATGATTAATATTCTTTCGATAAGAACAGAAGTACTGCCCAAGTAATTCTTACAGCTTAACTGGCTATCTGGCTATAAAGAAAAAAGGTGTTCTGGTCTTTTTTCAAATAGACTCCAGAATAAAAAGGGTGAAAAGAAGAAAGCAATGTGATTTTATAGCCAAGACAGCTGAAATTCATGATATGAAACAGAAATATTAAACTGAATTTAAATGAAATGTATAACAGTTTATCAAAATGATCATAGCCTCAGACCCTTCCTTAATCCCCTGTAAACTGTTCTTTTGAATTTACTTTCCAAGACCTTGTTTAAAAAATCTTTATTTTACATGAGARTCAAAAAAACAATATAAGCATAATGCAATAAAACATTGATTTCATTCCAATTTTTTTATTTAGATAGATGAGTATATTCATTGACTTTTTGGACACTCTGACAAACAGAGTTAAACAAAATCTTGAACCTCACAGTGTAGCTGGCTGGGAGCAGCCTTGTACCTCTGTTATATGCAATGACTTTGGAGATGTTTTTAGGCATTGCTATATAAAGCTTTGAACATTCTGGCACAGTCATTACACAAGTGAGTCAGCTAAGACTGAGTCAGCCAGATACGTGCAACAGGACTGAAATCCAATAAATAATGGATTCCTATCTTTTGAATTTAGGAAGCTCTTGTTCTTGTTGCTCTTGCAATATTATTTTTGCACCTATTTTTGGTTTTGTTTATGAGATTTCAATCTTCAATAATAAATCAGAGTTACCAAGTTATATAATCTCTTGGACTTTTTTTTTGGCCAGGAAAAGGAGTCAAGTTTTAAAAATTGCGACAAAAAAAGAAAGAAAAAAAAAAAAGAATTGAGGGATTGATATAAATCCAGCCTGTGGGGAGGTTCCATGAGTTTTTCCCCTTTGTGAGTCCAAAAATATGAAGAGTTGTTCTGATCTGAGGTGGTGCTTCCTAGACTGCTAATCACTCTCCCTCTCTGCCAACAGGACTAAGAAAGACTGGCACAGAATCAGCTAAATTAGCTTTTTGTTAACAAAGGATTTCTCCAAGGGAGGAATCCCTCTTTTTACTGCCAGCGGTAAATTCACATTCCTCTTGTGCCTCTTCCTAGTCAAAAGAGAGAACATTAGTATGGTACATTCTATGGAACACAGAAGGCTAGAGCTTTCACAAGTAACATAAAAAAAACTGCTAGAAAGGAAACTATTCATACAGTGTATAATTACTCTTTCTTTAGTCCTCTAGACTTGTTTCTTCTAATGTATTTTAGCTTCATTTTGTTGTACATTCCTCAACATGGTTATGAGGCTTTAAGACACCCTTGACAAATATATAAAGGACTCTACTCTTCTCTGGCATCAAATTGTGCTTAGTTTTTTTTGAGTTAGCAGGTAATGTACCAGCAAAGAGTCATTAATTCCTCCAGGAGTGAGCACAAAAGCAAGCATACGTTTGTCTGAGAACACAAAAAAATTGACTAAGGAGGATATTTGTGAAATATAATGCTATCCTCCAAATGGATCTGTAATTTTTTTTTCATAGTGTTTATTAAACTCTAGGCAAAAGAAGGCAGACCTGGGTCTCAGACCCTGAATTAAGTGATGAGGTTCAGTTTTTTTTTTTTTTTTTTTTTAATTTTAGCAATGATGAAGTACAATCATTGTAATGTAAAATGTGTTATATCTCCGTTGTTAGAAATTCAGTTAAAAACCATTGTTAATTAGTACCTACTGCTCTGTGATTTAGGACAAACTTCTGTTTCTTTAGTAGAAAGAAACTAAAGAAACTTCTGTTTCTTTAGTAGATAATCTAATAAATTCAGATAACAACATAATGCTTCCTATCTAGCTGGAAGCCAAGACCCCACTACCCCCATCTTTAAAGACTGAAAAAAATTTAATAACTTGTCCACTTTATGTGTGCAGATACCTGTTCCTCACCAGATTACTTGCTGGAATAACAAGCAGAATGCAGAAGGAAAATATGTTTTGGGGTTTTTTTTTTTTTCAGTTAGAAAGAGATATTGCCGAAAATCTGATCCTCTCTAAAATGGTTCTTACATATTTTCTGCACAAGGTGCTCTCAGCTTCCTCACAGATTATGTTTTTAAATTTCCTGCAGTTGTTGTTCCTTGGCCTCTCAGGATTTGTGGACATCTTTCAGTGTGATATCAGCTATTAGAAACAGTGCTTCAAATGTGGCCATCCATTGCTGGCTAACACACCAGCTAACCTATCCTAATGATTCATATACAGGAATATCACATTGCTCTGTTTTCATCTTTCATCTAAAGAATTAATATATCCTTTTGTTGTTACATTCCTATGTCTCTTTAGTTGTAATTGTGCACCTGAACATTTCTGATCTATTTTTGGCCTCTTGTGATATTTTTTTCATACTGATATTCGCTATGGTTTGTGCTTATCTGTCCTTGTTATTATTTTTCTTTTTTTTTTTTCAGATTGTAAGATAGACAAGCTCATTAGTCTGTTCTATATTTTCTATTTTTCCTCTGCTTTGTGATACACTGTCATTTTATTTTGCCTTCAATACAATCTTTTCAAGAAACAGCTTTCCTATGCTATTTTACACCTTAGATTACCTGCCCAAGAGACCCTATCTACCAGTTCCTTTGTCTGAAGTAGTTTCATCTTTTCATTCATTTTCTTAGAAAGGTGAATGCTGAAGAAAGGTGATTGATTACATGGATTACCTTTTTTTAATTATTATTAATTTTCTCTAAAACAATATCTTCTTGTTATCGTAGTATCAAACTGAACACATTCTAATATGTACTACAGATGAATCTTATAAGAGAGTCTTCTTTTTCAGATATTTTCACTTAACGTTGGGCATACAAATGATCAGAATGAACACACTTTACAGTAATATAAAATGATGCTACATTTAGAGGTAACGGGATGCATTACTACCATTTATGCACTGTGTAATCACAACAGGGAAATAATGTTTCATTACAATAATATAATGATAAGAAGAAAACAATTTATTCAGAATAGCAGATGCCAAAATGGAAAAGTCTTCATCTTTCATATAACCAAGTCTACAGGAAGCTGCGAAGCTGCTGGTGCTTGTCTCAAAACACTGTTTTTAAAGGTATGATCATTCTTATCATTCAGTTCCACTTTTTCCAGTCAGCCCTTTGAGCACTGGGCTGTTTTCTACGTCCTCTCCTTTTCCACTTTTCCGTAGGGCAAAGATCCTACACTATATTTTTCCTTTTCATCTAAGCCATTTTTTTCACATACGATATAATATTAAGGCTTAAAAAAATTATGTTCAAGTTTCATATCAGTTCGTCATTACACAGAGACCACCAATACTTATGAAAGAAGAAGCTCAGTGATAATTTACCATCACAGTCTTTATACAATGAAGTTGTTTTTAGCTTAAGAAAATCTTTCTAATTCTTGGAAATTAGTCAGGTCTCCATAACTGACTTACAACAATGCTTTCAGAGAGAAACTATTTCTTAACTCAGTCTTAACTTTCCTGGGATCATTACATCTCATCCTGTGAATATTGCACTGCAATAACTGACTACTATCTCCGCTCTCCTTATAACATTCAATGTTCAACAGGCTTCACTATTGAACCATCTCTCATTTCACTCATTATGGAGGTTATTATCTACTCCTTAACCAGAAGACTACAATCTGTCAAAACTGGCACACATCCTCATCAGCAAACAATTTCTGACCAACCGCTGAATACTGCAGTAAAACTAAGCTCCATAATAAAACAAAGCACTACTGTAAATACCAAAAACAACAAGAAAAAAAAGGAAAAACGGTGGAGGAGACATTCAAATCATATCCTGTAGTTCAAATAGGATGAGGATATCCTTAAGTTAGAAATAACTTAAATTGTAACAGACTAACAGGCTAACAGAATGTGATTCCTTTTTATTATCAAGCAGGATGACATCATCGGTAATTCCACATCCAAGACACTTATCTTACTTTAAACATTAGCACCAAAATAACCAATCTTAAAAGGTCATGTTTATTTAAAAATAGCTTGCTTGCACTTTGCATTAAAGTTAATTTACTAACTTTAAAAAAAATTAAATGCAAATGTATACAAATAATTTAAGCATCCTGTCAAAGTTCACATGCATATCGCTAGAGCAATAAAAACGTTCAAGGTTATACAGAATGCTTCTTAACTGAGATAAATGCCATCACGTGGATTGTTCTATTAAATTTACAGGTTGAACTAAAATGTTTGACCTCTCTCTTCAGCAAATTCTATCCTTTTTTAAAAAAAATAAAACCTATAATTTCCTATTTATAATGTGTTTTTCAGGCCATAACAAAGAAGCATACTGTACCTCTGGTGCTGATGGCTGTTGCCGATGTGGTTTTGCTGGCTGTTAAGGCTACATTGGTTGTGACTGTTGCAGTGGTAAGGGAGGGGATGACAGTAGTGGGAAGCAAAGTGTTGAAAACATCTGGTGAGCGGAAAAAAAATATAAAATAAAATCATATCATGCAAACAAAGGAAAACCATAATAGTGGTTTAATTTGTAAATACAGGTATGTTGAAAATGACTAAATTAAAACGTGATTAACATAAATTATTACAGGTACAACGGCGTACCTTTAAATTCTTGACATTATATCACTCTCGGTTTTTATGGTCAATCTTCTAGCATTCAGAATTTAAAACACTGTTAAAATGGTCAAGTTTACAYAGATATGGAGAGTGAATGTTTAAGTGACAAGAATCCATTTCTTCACTGAGGCATTTTAAATGTCTCATATGCTAGAAACCATATACAGATGAAACATGCTGTGTCAGAGTGGGGGATGAAAAAAAAACCAACACTGTCATGCTAAAATAAACACACACATGTTAACGAGAAATGGCTGTATGTTAAAAACACCCACTTTCAGACAGAATCAATGGAAGGAAAAAGGGGGAAAATTGCTACTAACTATAAGAGCTGCTTTTTCCGGATTGCTTTTCTTCTTCCCACATATTTAAGACACAGCTGTCTGCTAAGATCCAGAGCACAGTATATTTCAACATCTTTACCCTAATTACCAGGAAAAGTCATCTTTCAACCATCCTTAGTACTCAAAGTTTATCGTTAATAGATGCAACAGTATTCCAGTTACCTCCAAAATAATTTAACTCCAAATTTAGAAAGGCTATTTACATTAATATTACAAAATCTGAGTATCCAAGTCAGAAAAGATGCATAGCCCTGTTTACAGCATTCTGCAAATCCCTTCGACCCCTGCTCAATAAGTACAAGCACGTCAAGYTTAGGCCACTGCTGTTTCGTTGTACACGAACCAACACTCTCTATTGTAAAATGTTTCAGTACAGAGCAGAACATAAGCAGATGTGCGGATAGAAAATTCTCTGATTGCCCTGCCAGAAGCAATAAAGAGCAGTAACACTTTGCTTACAAGGTGATTGCAGGTTTTAAAGAACAAATACACAAACAAACAAACAAAAAAAAACCTCAGAGAACTGGAGAAAAGCACTTTGGTGAGGAAATGAAAAGCATCTGACATTTTTCAGATCATTTATATAGCAGGTTTAAAAGGAAAGAACCAGTTTTTGATGCGCTGATTGTGTGTAAACCATTCCACATTGACTTCAGTGTAAATACCTCTGAAGGGTGCTATTCAATGCAGTAACAGTAAAAATCTGACTTGCGATCTGTCTTCTCCTACTCTAGAAGGAAATGCAATCGGTCTCTGAGTACCTTCAACTCTGACTCAAATCAATGGAAACAAAAGCAGCTCGGCACTTAACAGTACCAGGCCCAATACCAGACATTCTGGGCCCGTCAGTTCAGCATCACATAATCACTCTCTTAAGACTTTAATTAAGCATGCTTGCCTTATTTTCATGCTGGATGACAGATTATTTTGCCTTTTAGAAATTCTCCCTGACGTTCCTTCAGTTAACGTCTATGAGTCACACCATTTTCTGCATTATGCTTTTGATAAACGCCACCATTACCCCCTAGAATCTGTACTTATGGGATTTTCCACTTCGGAAGCCATCAGAAAATGGCAAGAGATTCCTCTCTCACCTGCTGTACACTGGTGCTTTAGCTGGCTTAGGAGTATATAGTACTGCAGAACAGATCTAAAGTAAAACACACTTTTGAAAAAAAAAMCCAACAACCCTGTAGTCATGCTAATCACAAGGAAAAACTGTAACATAACCTGAAGTGTGCACCTGAGTGTAACTGGCATGATAATTAAACACAATCAAATTTAACAAACATCAGAAATAAATGAACATACTTAAAAGATACTTGTCATATGTACTGTTCTATGCAAGTGATTCTCATAAAAGGAAACTCCCTCTTAGGTAAGTATCTGGTAAAATAAAATAAAACAGAAGAAAAATGCCATCTTTGTAGGGACAGCAAACCCTTGTTTATTAGAAAAGCTGTATAAATTGGTCTTGTACATAAAAACTAATTAATGTGATTTATGGTTCCCTTCATTATCTATCCTAAATATGCCATTTACTTAGGACAATGCAATGGCAGGTTAACTATAACTGGTAAACACAGCCATGGTTTTATGACTGTGCTTTTTCATTCTATGAAAGCACTGTCTACCCAGTTTGCCACACACTAGCTTAAATGAGTCACCAGTGAATTTAAGAGTTCACTGCTTTCTGGTTTCTCTTCTGACTGAAATATTTCCATTAAGGTTTCTCATTTCAAGTGAAACCTACTTAGGAAATCGAAAAAGGTTAATAAGAACTAGGAGACAGCAGTTTTTCATTTTTTCTTAAGATTCATCTTTTCTGATCACATTAATGAAAATCTTTGCAGAACTTGGTGTCCTGATCAAAGTTAGAAAGTCTGACACCAAATATTAAAATGGCAGCTTTTCAGAATGCTCAAAGTAAAATATGTTCACAAAAGAACTTGTTTTCTTAACAGAGTAGGGTGAGATTCATCATGCAAATGACTGCCATTGGTCTGCTTTCCTGACAGCATCCTAATTACTTGCTCCTAACAACTGAATGACACATTAGCAACCAGTAAACAACCTGAAGAGCATTTCATTGCCCAAGCTATGAAATACTCATGTATGTTCCAGGCTTCGCACGGTAGAATATGTTCTTTAATTACGAATGTACGTAAAGGTGATATAGCTGTTAAGCAACAAAAAGATCAATAGTTCTACCTGCAGACAACATATTTCAGAATTCTTGGTCCATACTGCATCCTTAAATTCCACTTTGCATAATCTAGATCTAGATGTAGATTAATGTTCTGAAAAGCACTGAAATCCCACATTCAAAAGACTTATACAATGGGATGTCCTAGACTTACTTAGGGAGTGACACAAAGCTCCTCATCAGTTCTTCCAAGATTTATAGATTCTTGCAAATACTTTACTCATCTTCTCTTTTTCCTACACTGATTCCAACAACATAGGCTATTCTATAAGTCATACAAATCACATTAAGTATTTTTTGAAGTGCTGTTTCATTTATGTGCCAGAAAAGAGACTTAGTATTTGATTATTTCTAGTCCTGTAGAATCTTGTTGTCACTTTTGCTTTTGACATACCTCAATTCCTTCTGCTGGCCTTTCTGAATCAGGCTGAAAAGAATGTGCTTTTGTACTGATGAAAACAATCCTCTGCTCAGAATACCAAAGATCACTATGACCAAGAGACCTCACTGAGTGACACTTTTTAATTCAAGTATCCATACCCAAATCAATACATCATATTCCTACTTCACTAATATTTAACTGAAGAATCTTTTGAAGGAGAAAATAGCTACATCTTGTAACTGGAGAGCTAAAGAAGATAGAAAAGCCATGCACAGAGATCTAGAAGASAAGACATAATGGTCACCATTAATTTTAAATCTCATTTCTAAAATGAATGTATATTGACAGAGAGGCATCGGTCAAAATTTAGTATTGTAATTAACTTGGTATTCATGGGTTGATGGCTACTTCTGAAATACCAGCAATCCACAGACCACAAATTGTTTCCCTAAAGGTTTTTGGAAATAAAAACTCTACATCTAGGGAGATTACTGACTCTAGTCCCTCTTGCTTCGGTTAATTATCAGATTGTACTTGAGCTGGATTTTCAGTGGAAGGAGTACAATTCTAACCTGTAGCGGCAGAGAGGGGTTTGAGGTGAGGGGCAAATACTTGACAATTAATTCCTTTTTACTAAGGAACTGCAATAATGTCACAAATCAGTGAATAAAGAGGGCAGCTTGGTGAAGGTTTTAGAGAGAAAGGTCCTCTATGGGGCTCCCATGGTATGTTAGTATGCCATTAAGTTACATTAGCACCAGCAATTTGAAGGCTGAGAGCAGGTAGTCTGCTCGTTGGCAGCAAGCACACAGAGGAAAGTGAAGTAGCATGCAACTCTTTCTTGGCTTGTTCTGGAGGCTGCTCTTAGGAGAGGCACAGGTGCAATCTGTAGACTCGTGGCAGAAGAGAGAGTTGTGCAAGATCAGTTCAAAACATTGCCAGGTCCTGCCCAACCACGATTTTTCGTCTGCCTACCCTTCTTTCCTGAACTGATCCCTCATTCTTCCTGCAAAGGCAAAAGTCATTCATCCATTTAAGTGTTGAGAGCCTGGCCAAATTACTCTTACTGCAGATTTGGCCCTAAGCATTTTTGCTCTCTATTTCCACAGAAATGAGAAATGGTTCTGTTTGGTTTAGCAGGCTTATGTGAAAGATAGATCTGACCTATTGAAAATATTTGACTTGTTTGGTAAAAACACAACTGATACTCTGAAATGACTGAGCACAATGCAGGCAACAATGGCTGCAGCTGATAAAAATGTAAAGGCTTTTGTTTCAAGCTTGACAAAGGCTGACAGAAAAATTAAAGGACAAAGTGATAATGATGGATGGCCCCTGCTGTATTTTGACTGAGAAAGAAAAAAGTTTTAAGTGGTAAACTGAACTGAGTGATGACCTACCTGGGAAACAATCTCACTACTCTCCGCAAAATTTAATCAGAGTCTGTGATATGTAGTGCTAAATAATTTAGCAAGGTTTTAAATTTAAAGGGAGTTGCATTTAGTGTTGCTCCCAGAAACCAGGATTGAACAAAGAGATCATTCAGCTTGAATCTCATGTGCCAATAGCTGCATGACATGGACATGAATTCCCTGTTTTGTTTTTTAAMTAATTCAGATTTATGAAATTCTGAAACAGCAATCATTTGCTTGACATTTTGGTAGAAAATTAGTTGTCATTAAAAAAATATCCAAAATCTTTCAACTGGAAGCTCATTTAGATCTAGAGCCCTAGTTTCAATTGAAGTAGAGACTAACAGTAGGTGAGTTCATAACAGAAAACCTGCTCCAGGGCTAAGACTAGATACTTCAGAAAGAAAATAAAATAGATTCACACAAACCCATGCTCCCAAGATGTTTCATGGGCCTCTAGGTGATATTAAATTTTGGAAGACAAGGGAGCTC